CTGAAAGTCCACCTGAAACACGGGGAGCATTCATAACCATGCCCTAGCCGATGTTCAAACTAAATAGCCATTCAAAACGACTGTGAAAAATCTGAGTCAGATTCAGCAGACAATTTGCCGGATTATCTTCCTAGGGAATTTTCTGATGTAGCAAATGATCTTTGTGACGGCAGTAAAACGAAGCAACAGGTTTCATTTTCTGCCTCGAACGTGAGCATTGTGCAGGCGACTGGTGCCCGTGAGATATGTGTAGCCTGGGAGTCACATCAGTACCTGATAAAAGGAAAGGCCCAGACAAGGCTGTCGTTCGTTTGTTTTACTCTTCCTATGGGAATCAGACAAAAGATTAAGCACTATCTAGCTAGGTGCCAGTAGTCACCCTTGGAGATAGATGATACTGGGGTAGGTATGACAGGATGCATTTCCAATAGAGTTAATTACACAGTAACCAACAGTGGACATTAAATGTGAAATTTCTGAAAGCTAGAGAGACAGAGCGAATGTTCCTCAGCTGGTCATAATAAGAATATTCGTCGCCAAAGCCGCAAAATTACGGATCCAGGTCCCACCTTCTCGGTGTTTGGGTTCTACTCCGTTTCCAATTAAGTGGTTCGGTAGCACACATAGTATCGTTTAAGCCTATGTGAGGGAAAGAACAGTCATCGATGGGGAACAGGTCAGTAATTTAACACAAGTTCAGTTCCAATGTGAAGAAAAATAGACTAGGAACCTGAAGCAGTGGGAAGAACGCATCTAGACATCTGTTTATCATGTCATTGCTGCTTTCTTGGACCTGTACTTAAAGGTCCACATCAGGAATTGTCAATACATATTCCAGTTGTTACTGCATACGATGAGGATATTCTTGGTTGACCTGTGTGTTCTTAAACACTTACGGAAAGAGTGTCTAAACTCAAAATCATGCAGCAGACGGGACTTTCGCGAAATAAATGCTCCAAGAAAAGACTTGAAAATCGGACGTAACTTGCACATAATCAAACAACTGAACGCCTGCGTTCAACATTTTCGTAACAGAAATGTTAAAGATGTACGAAAATTGCCATTTTTAAACCGATCGTTAGGGCCTAGGCGAGAACTTAAAGGCCAGGTCAGACTTTTGTGTACCATCCAACTGCCAAGCTTGATAATTGAATCCAAAGTCCTTCCAGAGACAATTTTGCCATTTGATTCTCTAACTTCATTCTTACGATACCTTGGTAGGCATCGCTTCCTACCTCTCCCGATCTCTCTCCTTTCACCGATCACATTAAGTATTTTTGAGGTGCTAAGCACGAAAAATCTTAAAATACGCGTAATTTTACGTACCAAATCCAGACTGTGATTGCCTTCGTGGTGAATTACCAAAATACGGCGTGGATAAGTGTACACCGCCCTGAATTATCTTTATACGAAGAGCCTTCTTTAATGGATTGACATAGGCATCCAGTGTAAATGCGTTTTCCCCTTTTATATGTATACGAACACCAGGTCTCCTTTCCCAAAAGGCCTCTTGTATCACAATTTTCCATACTACAGGTGGTCATTCGTTGCAGTTTAGATGAGGAAATAAAAGTATATGTGTCCGACCAAAGCATATCCAAATTACTTGGTTGTTTCCTGGTAATGCGACTAAGTCCCAAGTGTAGATGGAAAGTTTTTTTCGGAAGCCCATTCGAAATACTCTACGGCTGTGGTAGTACCACCATTTTTGTGTTGCATGGCGAAGTAAGAAAGAGAACTTTAGTATGTTCAGGCTGACATTTGTGCCCGTCTCGTCTAACGCCCACATGTCTGCGCCCGACTACGTAAGACGCGCAACGGTTCGCACAAAACAATAATTGAAATTACGAAATCTTTCTAAGACGACGACCAAAAGGGGAAAAGACTAGGAAAGTTTGACCGTTCGGTTAAGGAAGCGAAGGGGTTGAATTCAAAGAAGTACCGCGGGAAGATGTACGGAAGAGGGGCTCAGCTGAAGAAAAAACAGATGTACTATGGCCGCCAACGACAGGTTTTAGTATTGCCAATACCAGCGAACATACGAGTCCCTGGAAGTAATTGAGAAGAAGAAAACTTGATCGCTGGGACAATACTACTGTTTTATGCTAATGTCTCTGATGCTGAATTCGCGACGGATGTCGAAACGTCAGATGAATAAAAGCATTGTCCTAGCGATCGAGTTGTCTTCGTCTCAGGTTTTAGTATATTTATCATGATGGAAGAAAAGGAGGAATAGCCAGATGCATTCGGTCTTCACTATATCCTCTAGATAACAGTTATAGAATCAGCCGGAATTTGTATGCTCACGCATGCCTTTGTTATACACGAAGCCGTTTCTACATGGTGATAGAGGTACCTCCCTCATAATATTTCGATTAAGTGAGCGTTCCATGAATCGAGTCCTCCATTTGACGACTTATGTGACGGAGGTTTCGACTACCCGCAGAAATTACATGTTTTACAGAGGATGTTGGGTTCAGCCCAAGGCCGCAAGTAACAACTTGAATGCAAAATTTCCTCTTTACAAAATTTCTACCTGGACTGCAAGCTTAAGGAGGGTGTATATTACTCTTCGTAATTCAGAGGAGCATACACCAGCTGACATGTGTGGGTGTTCTAAAATAAACGCAGGCATAGAGTCGAAGTGCTTCATCCGTGTTTATTCCTCCTAAAGGCAAACATTTACACTTTTCTTATACATAAAGTCCGCACTAGAGGATGGCGACAGTTGCGCGGCGGGCGCATTCCATCCGGAACCCGGCAGGTAGTTAGCTATGATCCCATAAATCTGTGCTGAGCGCAGAGCCCACGCCCCCTCTCCCCATTCGTTTCAGTTGGCCAGTGAAATCAGGTGAGAGCTACATGAGATGTCTCCTCATCCAACGAAAGTGCATAAAGTCTTATTTAGCAATTGAAGTGAAACCGACCGA